ATTAATAAATTAGTAGAGGTCGATCTTTGATTAAGTGAGTGGGAGTACTCAATTCATGATCTTTCCCCCTCATACTTAAGTTCCCGAGCTGAAACACTTCGGTTACGACAAATCATGGCCTTTTGGCATGAGTTATGGATTTCCTAATTTTTTTCAAAAGGTTAGGTGGGGACTCTGAGTCTAGTGATGTAGTCCATCTTTGGCATTTCTTGTGATTGGTGGATTTTCTATGGATTTGTAAGATTTAGACTTTCATCCTATTTCACGTTACACTCGTGAAACCAAACTTAAGGTTCTAAATTGTCGAGTGCGCTCGGACGTCCCGAGATTTCCACACTTGTCTCATTTCAAAATATAATATCTACTTTATCCATGACACATTCTATAATGAAAGTTTATTTGTATAGTTTGATGGATATTTATTTTATCCATGACACATTCTATGATGAATTTGGAATTGATTTGTATTTTTTTATAAATTTTTAAAGGTTATGTTGCTTGTTAGTTTCACCTCACTACAATAATTTACACTTTTGACAACCAAATTTAGCGACTAAAAGTATTTTAGCTGTCAAAAGTATCACTTTTGGCGACTAAAAAATTTATTGGCCGGCGTTGATTTAGGATATAGCTACTAAAATTTTGTAGTCGAGAAATATTAAGGGTGTGTTTGGTAACGTTTACGTTTTCAGTTTATATTTACAAAAATTTTATAAACTGGTTTTTGTTTATTTTTAGAAAAACATAAACTACAAACGCGTTTAGTAATTGACAAAATGTTTACAAAATTTAAAAAATATAAAAAGAGTGAAAAATGGCAAGTAGTGGCAAGTGGCGGCGAAAGACGGTGGGTGGTGGGTAGCTGGTGGTGGTGGGTGGTGGCAGGTGGATGGGTGACGGTGGCGGGTGGTAGCGAGTGGGTGGTGGCGGTGGCGGTGGCAGGTGGTGGAAAGTGGTGACGGTGGATTTTTTGTTTTGACCACCACTACCCGCCACTACCATCGACCGCCTGCCACCACCACTCGCTACCTACTTGCCACCACCACTCACCACTCACCCACCACCACCATCCACCCACCACCACCCACCACCACCAGCTACCCACCACCCACTGTCACCACTTTCCACCACCGTCTTCCGCCGCCAATTGCCACCACTTGGCATTTCTCACTCTTTTTTATATTTTTAAAATTTTTTAAACATTTTGTCAATTATTACCAAACGCGTTTGTAGTGTATGTTTTTCTAAAAATAAACAAAAATTAAACAAAAACCAGTTTATAAAATTTTTGTAAATATAAACTGAAAACGTAAACATTACCAAACACACAACGTTTTCAGTTTATATTTACAAAAATTTTATAAACTGGTTTTTGTTTAGTTTTTGTTTATTTTTAGAAAAACAAAAACTACAAACACGTTTGGTTTAGACAAAATGTTTAAAAAAAATTTAAAATATAAAAAAGAGTGAGAAATGGCAAGTGGTGGCAGGTGATGGATGGTGACAAGTGGTGGCGGTGAAAGACAGTGGTGGAAAATGATGGCAGGTGGTGGTGGTGGAAGACGGTGGTGGAAAATGGTGACAGGTGGTGGGTGATGGTGGCAGAAGACGGTGGTGGAAAGTGGTGGCAAGTGGCGGATGGGTGGGTGGTGGTGACGGAAGACGGTGGTGGAAAGTGGTGGCAAATGGCGGGTGGTGGCGGCGGAAGACGGTAGTGAAAAGCGGTGACGAGTGGGTGGACTGTGGTGGCAGGTAGGTGGCGAGTGGTGGATGGGTGGGTGACGGTGGCGGGTGGAAAAAAAAAAACTGAAAACTCAAAATGGAAACACATTTTTTATGTTTTCATTTTTTGGCCAAATTTATAAACTAAAGCCACTGATTTATAAATCAAAAATTTTACCAAACAAGTTTTTATTTGAGTTTTTTTAAATTTTTGTAAATATAAACAGAAAACTGAAAACGTAAGTATTGCCAAACGACACCTAATTATTGGTGACTAAATTCAGTTTTCGTTGGCAAAAATTTGACTTTTCACGACTAAAAATCGTATTAGTTGCCGTCAGTCTATATTTTAGGCTACTAACTTTTTTTTTAAGTCGCCATATGTTATTTTTTGCTGACAAAATAAATTTTAGTCGCCAAATAATAAGCATATTCTTATGGTAACTCTTTAGCAATTGTCACGACCCAAACCCGCCCTTATAGGTTTAGCATCGTAATCGACCAGTAATCGTTGGATTACCAAAGGCCTCTTAGCATAATAACATATAGTTAAGGGTTGCAAAAGCAAATATATAACATACGAAGTCCATTGAGCTGTGAAGATATACATGAAACTGAAAATCTTAAACTTTATATGCATGCAAGTGACGTCATAGGTACAGTATTTACACGTCACTATCTGGTACATACAAAAGGCGAACTTGTTCATAAAACAAAAAGAAACAGTCTTATACATTCATAATGACACAGCCACAACACATGGCTTGATCTGGAACCTCCTCGTGAGGTGCAAAGGGGTGGCTGACCAACACAAAATACCCCAGACATCAACTTAAGCCTGATCACGCCCCTGCTCACCTACATACATAATAAATAACTAGTGAGCGGAGACCCAGTGAATAATAACAAAGTAAAGGGATATATGAATGATGTCCCATAACCGTGACTGAAATTAAAATTCACCTTCATATTCTTGTTCTGAGCATGCATATAAAAGTTAGAGTTCATACTAAATCTTATGTATTACATCCGTTAGTGCTAATAGATTGCACACAGAGTGACTTAAATCATACTTGTCAGTTCTATAGAAGAACCTCCGGCCGGGTAAGAGTAACTTATCAGTCCCATATAGGAACCTCCGGACAAGGAACTTGTAAACTTGTCAGTTCCACTTAGGAACCTCCAGCCGGGTACAGATAGCTTATCAGTTCCATAAGGAACCTCCGGTCCGGGAACTTATAGCATACTTGAATCATAACATCGTGTCACTTAGAGCATACTTGAATCGTGGCATATAATCACTTGCAACATACTTATATCATAGCATAGCATCATAAATGCTTGTTATTGTCGGACAATCATTCATAGTATAAAACATGGCATTTCTTTCAACAGATCTTATTTCGTATACAGAAAATACATAAATTTGAACATAGCTTTACTAAGTTATTACTCACAGATAATAGGTGTCGCAAGTAGACAATTCAACTTCCTTGTAGCACTTGACCTACACAGTTATAGAACGAACGTATTCCGAGTTACACACCCATAAATGATGACTTAGCCCTTACTTGTTTTGGTGTGTTTCTACCTCGTTATTCTCATCATAGAGTCTAATCATGGCCTAGGAATACCTAGGATAGAAAGAGGATGCAAAAATGCACTTGAAAACATTTTTCAAAACTTGCTGAAAATAGGGTCCACGCTCGAGCGTGGCTTTCCTCGCTCGAGCGGGCATGCAGACAGTGAGGCTTCGCTCGAGCGATTTCCTCGCTCAAGCGGACTGCAAACTTTGGAAAAGTACTAGTTGCTTGCATTTCACGCTCGACGGACGCTTGATCTCCGCTCGAACGTGAGACTCAGACCCTCGCTCGAGCGTGACCTCTGTCGCTCGAGCGTGCTGTAAAATATACAAACTTCTGGGTATATGAATTTCACGCTCGAGCGGGAATCAAGTCTCTCGAGCGGAAGTGCACGCACTCAGAGTGCTCGCTTAAGCGTGAAGTCCCACGCTCGAGCGTAGACACAAATTCTGGAATTTCCAAATTTGATCTTCAAGCTCAAACTCAACCTTTAAAGCATCAAACTCGATTTTTCTGGGCCAAAACTTGAGAAAATACATGAAAACCCTTAAAACAACATGAATTAAAGATCATTTCAAGAAATCATGGTCCAATGGCTTGCCAATTATGCAAAACTTCAACTAAAAGTTTGTGAATGATCCAAGAACAGGACATGCATGAATTTCTTTCAACTCAAGCTTCTCAAAACATGATCAAATACTACAAAACAACATAAAACTTGATATTTTCTCACAATCAAAGTGAATTCAAGACATGCATGAGAGAATTCTTAGAAATCAACTTCAAAATGCTATGAAACATGCATGCATGCATGATGTGATCTACATTCCTTCATTCTTTTTGCTTAAGCCCAAAATTACTGAACTTAATCCTCATGAATTCATGTTTTAACATCACAATCACATAATCTAGGTGTTGAATTCATACCTCAACCTCTCAATGAAGCTCTAATTGGTAAATTCTCTAAGGTTCCAAACCAATCCCCTTGAATTCCCTAGCAATTCCTCCAAGCTCAAGTATTGATCTCAACTCTCTCTCTCTCTCTCTCTCTCTCTCTCTCTCTCTCCCACACATTGAGTTCAAGGATGAGGAAAATAAGAGTGTCAAAAGTATAAAAGAGGAATAGAGGTGATTAATTGGCCTAAGCTAAGCTAAGCAGTATTAATTATTCTAATTTAATTGTTCCAAATCGAATTTCAATTAAACCTACCATAAAATTCTATAAATTCCACATAACACATATACCAATCCAATTTATGAATTAGATGCCGATAAGGCCTTCAATTAGCAAATCGAAACTAAAAATGAACAGATCTTTCTACGTTAAACAGATATAAACACAAAATGATGTAATGCACATGCAATTAACTCAGGATTTCTTCTTAATTACTCGTTAGGCACACTTAAGCATGAATTATCATTAATTAAGGGTCGGGGTTGTTATAGCAACCAAAAAAATTAGTCCGCATTTCTTAAGTTTTGGTGACTAAAAAAAACATTAGTTGTGCCATATGATCTTTTACTAACCGAAATTATTTTTAGTCACCAAAAATAATTTGGGCGACTAAAAAGTTAGTCACCGTTAATTCATCTTCAGCTACAAAATAGAATAGTTGGCATATATATTTCATTTGCCGACAAAAAAATATTAGTCGCTAAAGATGTTAAAAGTTTAGAGAGGGAAACAATTTATTACTGCCCGCTTCTTCTGTTAGACAAAAAGATATTTGAACTGTCTCACACCTAGATTGTCTCACCACCAAACCTCACCAAAATCACTTCACCGCAGCCCACCATACGGAGGACGTCGGCATGACCACTGCCACCGCCGGAAATCACCATCGCCATAGCCGTAGATCACAGGTTCTCTCTCTCACGCACTCTCTCGCTCTCGGTCTGTCTGTGTGTGTCTCTCTCTCACTCGAGCTCTCTCGCTCACAGTCTCTCTCTATCTATATCTCTCTCTCTCTTTCTCTCTCTCTCTCTCCCCCATTCTCTGTTTCCCGTTTTCTAATTGTTGATTTAGGGTTTAATTTCGTGTTGATTTAGACTGTTTCGCTTTGGCTGTTAATTAGCTGCACATTTTATGGATTCCTCATAAGCTTGCATGTTGAAACAAGAGAAAAAATGCAGAAATAGGACCTTAGGAGTCCTTTACGCTTTCCAAAATGAAAATCTTCAGTTTGTGAATTTTCTAAGAGCTGACATTGTGATTGAATAACTGGCATGAATAAAGCAAATGTCTATTTCATTTTTCATATTCATTTCCTAGATGACTGCACTGTTAGCAATACTTGTGCTAATTGATATACAAAGTGGAGCATGTTAGTCTTCATAAAACAGTGCAAGTGCATCATCTGAAAACCAGGTGTCTTGTAGCTTTGCATTCAGCTCAGCATATTGTTGTATTCAGATATACAAAATAAACCTTTTTGTTTTTTTTATGCATGTGATATGTTCTTAGTTTTAGTGATTTATAAGTAATCCAAAGTGTTTTAATGCTATGTTTTGTATTGCTTAACATATTGCCATGTTTTCACAAACAATTTATTTCTTAGATTGCTTGCTCATGAGTGTATTCTTTGAATCACTTTTTTGTTTGATTCTTTTGTATTGTTACTTGTGAAATACTCTTTTTTGGAACCCCTTTTAGATTGTTAATCATTTTTTTTTTTTTTTGAATTTCAGCTTGGATTGAACCTAGAGATAATTTCTTAATCTGGTTTATGCGATTGTTGGTGAAATCAAAGTTGTTGTACACTACAATTTAAATGTAAAAAAAAAAAACAAACCAAGAAAATGAGGGACCCCAATTTGGTCATACGTTTCAAGAGGCCTCTCAATTTTATCTTCTTTGTATTATAGTTTGTATGTGTTAGTAAATTTGTATACATACATTAATTCTCATATTTGTAAACCTAGCAAATTGTTGTTGTTGCTCATAATTTGATACGAAAATCCGAGTAAAATCTCGGACAGGAGGTGTTGTGCAAAAAAAATCTGGCGAGTTTGTATAAAATCTTGGCTGTGAGCCGCCTCCAACACTGTCTTGTATGGTTTGCAAAGCAATGGGGGTTAGATGGAACACTATACCATCTAGTTATCGTGTTTTGATGTATTGATTTTTATTTTGGAAATCCAAGGGTGTTGATCTCTTAATCCTGAAGGTAATTTGTGCTTTGACATTGTTGTTGAATTCCCATAATTGCATTTGATGATTGAAGGTTGTCCATTTTTACTGATGGTATGTGGAATCAAAGTGCAGGATTGGCATTGTTGGAATTCCGTGCAAGAGTGGATTATGATCCATATGGCGCCTTTTCAAATTGGAATCCCAATGATGACGACCCATGTATGTTGTTCGGTGTTCATTGTGTTGATGGTGAAGTGCAATATCTGTAAGTCCCTCTTAGACTTACTCAAAAAGTTTCCAATTCATTTCAATTTATTTCCTTAAAATGTGAATGAATGTCTTCTTTCCACAAATAGTGAACAAATGGGTTGAATCTTTTGTAGTTAGAATTTATTGCGAACGAAAGCTGAGATTTTAGTTTAAAGATTTGATGACGAGGGTTTAGAATTGTACAATTTGAATCACTATATCTTCTGACGTATTGCTATTTAATTTTATCTGTAGGGATGTCAATGGACCTTCCTTTGCAGGGGAACTTGCCCCAGACCTTGGGAAGCTTTCTCACCTAAGATCTCTGTAAGCATTATTTGGTTTTTGTGGCTTTGCATTCATAGTTGGGTGTTCTTTCATATCTGCTGGATTGCTTGATTCATTTGGTAACCTAAGATTTCAAAAACTATACATGCTGCTTTCCAGTTTGGCTGGCATTGGGCGATTACCTAAATTACTAGCAATGGTGCAAACACGATGTGTTTGCAATTTCAAGTTTGAATTTTTGGATAGAGGAAGAGAAAAAATATATATATTGAACACTTGGTAGAGAGTCAAATTGTGATAGTCAAAACAAGTTTTATTTTTATTTCTTTTGAACCAATACTCAAAACAAATTGAAATAGAAATTAAAAAGATAACTGTAAAATCTGAGAACCTTATGACAGAGTCGTAAGATTCCAAATTTCTCTTCCTCTATACCATCTTTCTTGTCCACAAAATGGAGATTACATATTAAAATTTCAAGAATTCCATATCAAAACTCCCTCAAATTTCTTGATCTTTCTTGTGCAGTATTGTTTTTCCCAGCAATTTTTACATATGCAAGTTATCTTCTGAAGCTTCTTAATTCACATACTATTTTCCAATGTCTTTGTTTCTATTGTAAACTTTTCATGTGGATCAATATTATTCATGTTGAGAGTATTGCGTCAACTTGTGTTCATTCCATTGCGTTTTTCATCAAGTTGGTCTAATCTTCTCTGTGAAACAAATCTGAATTGGTGCTTGGTTGGTTGCCCCTATATGGTTTGCAGTTTTAGCTGGTTTCATGAAGAATCAACTGGGTGGCAAACTATTTTGACCTTCTAGTTCAATCTTCCTAAGCTGATGATGCATCCTAGATGTTGATGTTGTTGAAATTTGGAAGTTGGACTTGGTGAAGAATCAACTGATTTCAAACAATTGTAGTTTATGGTTGAAACTCCATATTGGGTCTCCCTCAGGCTTAAATTTGATGACCTTTTCTGCTCTCTCTGGTGTTTCTTTCAACCTTTCAAGGCTCTTTTTGAGGTTATGTATGTGGATTCTAGTTAAGATGTCTTTGAATTATAAGTACTCTGCCTCTAAGCAGAAAATGGGAACCAATTTCAAGCTGAAGAAGGCAAAGGAATCTTTGCATGGATCTAATAGAGTCTGGAAGTGGAGTAGACATCTTCTGTTTCTGTGGCTTTTTGGTGTTTTCATTGGGTTTATTAGGTTCTTCTATGGTTTGAATGATGGGGCTTTGAGGACGAAGGAGGAGACTCTAGACTTGTGTCAACAAAACAAAGCTAGGATTTTGCTAGAACATTTCAATGTCAGCAAGGACCAACTTCATGAATCAGATCAGGTGCTGTCTTTATATCTATCTTAGAGATTTGCTTCTTAAATGGCTCCACTCTTTCTGGTTGCAGTTTTAAGTAACTTTTGTTGGTAATAACTGTTTATGTCGATTAATACTTGAGTTGGTTAGCAAGTTTTAGTGATCAAAGAAAGGGATACAGAATAGGATTACAGTTGTTTCTTGCTACATCTTTGACAGGATTATATTTGCTTAGTTCTATATTTGTGACAAATGGTGGTCGCCTCGTCAGAATTTTGCTACTGTGGATTCTGAGTGCTTATTAAAATGCTATTATTTTTCTTTTTGAGACGTTATTAAAAGTCTTCTATGTGCAGTATTATTTGGTAGGAAATGCTTCTTGTATGCTAAAGCTTCTATAGAAAGGACAAAAGTAAAATCCACTAAAACAGTGAAATTACCTTCAAATGCTATATGGAATTAATGGGTGTAATTTTTGTTTTGTAGATGACTTTTAGCATGGACATGTGGATCTTCCATTTTTGTGTATGGGGGATAATTTACACTTTTGAATAATCTCACTTTTTTGTCGCTTTTTGTGTGAATTTGGATGAATCGTACATATAACTTTTGGCGGGGTATAAAATACTTTTGACATCGAACAAATATTTATTGTCGTAGAATATAGATTATCTTTTGTTGTGGTACAGATTACCATAGTAATTTCTACCATGCCAAATGGTCATTTCGCATAGTAAATATATTTTTGTGTACGGAGGACATTGTTTTTGTATGCTTATTTGTTCTGTATGAAATTATTATTTCCAGTTGGAATATATACTTGGTTTGTATAGAATTTGACATTAAAAGTTATTCTTTTTTGTTGGATGGTTGTAAGTGAAATACATATTGTGGAATGGGAGATAATATATGCGTATTGTCTTGTTTTCATACTTGTTACAGGTTGCGTGAGATACATACAGGTTGTGGATAAATTAATTAAAATATAAAAAAATATAAAATGATGTTTTTGGTGACTAAACAATTGGTAGCCAAAAATGGAGTTAAATATTTTTAGCCACTAAATAGTTAGTAGCTAAAAAAGAATTAAATGGAAACAAATATTTTGGCGACTAAATATTTTGTAGCTGTTTAAAAAAGACTTTAGGCGACTAATGATTTAATAGCCAAAAAAAAAAAAAACATTTTTAGTGACTAAATATTTAGTCGCCAAAGCATAAAAATTATATGATAGGCGACTAAAACTTTAGTAACTAAATAAAAAACTTTAGGTGACTAAACTATTTAATAGCTAAATAACAAATTGGATTTTAGGCAACTAAACATTTAGTAGTTAAAAAAACCTAGATGAGCAAAAAAATAAAATACGCGACTAAAACTTTGATCGCCTTAGATAATTCAAATATTGGCGACAAAAATTTTAGTAGCTGAAAATGTGATGTTAAATTAAATTGTAAGCTTTTGGCGACTAAAAGATTAATCGCCAATTTAGTCTTTGAGCGACTGAAAAATATTTAGTCGCCAATACCTTCCTCGACAATCTTCCCGCGACAAAGCTCACAACCAAAATATTTAGTCGGAAAAATGTTTTGGCGACTAAAATCAGACTTTTGGCGACTAAAAATTTCGTCACCAAAAGTGCAATTTGTTGTAGTGCCTGTTTGGATTATTTTTTTTATTATTTTATGCCCTAATTACTTTACAGTACGTTATTTTAATTGTTTGATGAATAAAAATGGAGCTTTGTTTTGAAACTAACTACGCGTGATTTATATAGGAAAAGCTCCACTTTTATTCCGTTAAACATTCTTGAAGTCATACATTTATATCATTAATTTACAAAATAACTAGTTTGCCTGTCAAAACAAATTCTATTAAATTTTTTGCCAAAACAAGTCCAGGACTTTTAATAATAAAGTTCAAGTCTCAATTTGCCAAAAATGAGTTTTTATCATGGATTTTTATCTCCCAAGACAGAAATAGTTTATTTTGAGAAGCCTCTCAATAAAAAGTTGAAAGTTTGTCAAAATATTCTTTTTATTTCATTTATTCAAAAAACGTCGATAGATACCTTAGGCCAAGTTTGGGAACACCCCAAAAAGCTAAAAAGTCAAAAAGTTATTCAAAAAGTTAAAAAGTTATCACTATTCACCAAAAGTCAACAATTACGGCTGCACAACTCCCAATTCTAATTTTCTCCTACAAATCAATTTTTACAATTTTTTATTACACATTTTTCTGTAAAAAGTCAAAAAGTTAACCCAAACATTCATATTTTCAACCTCAACTTTTTAGTCTAAAAAGACAAAAAGTGCACTTATTTAGTCTTCCCAAACTTGGCCTTAGTTGCCCAATTTTAATTATAATTTTATGCATCAATCACTCTTACTATGGCTCAACCTTACTTGGACAACAAGCGTTTCAATACATGAAATGAAATGCAATGTATTAAATATAGAATTCAAAATTTAATATTACAAACCAATTACTAATTACTCTTGAATTATATAAAACAACCCTAACACTCAAATTAGGGGGTGCTCTGCATACAAAATAGATAACTAGTAATTAAGGATATGGCCTGCCATCTAGACCTATAATGTAAAGGGTTGTTTGTTTCATAGGATTGAAGTGTGGGACTGGACTCTATGTCCAATAAATTTACTAATTCATCGTTTGGTTAGTTTAGTAAAGATTGGACTAATACATATCATTTATAACTAAATAGTCTAGGGATTATTTATTTAGGACTAAAGTCCATTATATTGCAGTCCGCCCTTGTTCAGTCCAATCAAACAAACACTCCCTAAGTGGTGTGTGAAACAACACACCATAATCTATTATACATGTATATAAAAGCATGAAGATATGGAGAAGGGCATATCCAAGCCAACCGAGCTTCAAATGCCTACAAAATTCAACAAGACCACGCTCAAATCTCACTCTCAAGCTCAAGGTTAGTTTCCAAGTTCTCAACATAAGAGTGAGGAAGAAGAAATTAAACAAAACCAAAGTATATTGGTATGCCATCACACATGTACATTATTAAACAAAGAGTAGTGACATATAAATAGAAAATTCATATCAAAGTTTCTATACATAATAATATGGTTCAATATAGACCTTTCACTTTGAAGCGAAAGACCCATTAAGATGATTTTTATTAACAAATGTCACTGTCACATCATTTTTATAGCAAATTCAATATAAACATTTTGGTGGTTTAGCATTTTCCTTCAAGAAAAAACAAGCACATGGGCATTTACAAACATTATGCAATTCTCAACATGTAGCCGAGCAAATAGTTAGACCTTCATTATCAAACAAAATTTGTGCACCGAAGAGTTTCATTGGAGCCAACCTCAAGGAAATAAAAACATGAAATTAGCAAGGATCCAAGAAGAGGTGTGATGTGAACCTGCATGTAGCGCATATATTTCCAACCTGAAGTCAATAACTCGGCCAAGGTGTCTAGTCCAACAGTCCTGCAGCATTGGAGTTGGTAAATGGGTTGACATAGTTGTTGTCGCAGTGGATTCAAAATCCGCATATTCAGTTTTAATATGTACAAGCTGATTATTTGATTAGGTAGATTTTGGTTTTAAGCATCCACAGTTGTTGAAGCTCTCACAGTCTCACTGTCATTGCTGGTGTTTCATTGGAATCTCAACACTTTCTTAAGGCTGCCCTTATCTCCTTCAACATATCTTTTATCTTCATACCTTTACTGCAAGTAACATCAAAATAGAATTGTCACTTGGGCTCCTTTTGATGGACAATCAAAACAAAGTGTTTACATTTTTGCTAAATTCACTAAAATCTCTTCATTAGGTAGAGGAAGAATTTGAGGAATGTATTGAGGGATAAATGAATTTGGTTAGCCTATGTGTGGTGGTAAACATCGATGTATAATGGATTACAAAATCATTGTATTAAAAGAAATGGAATGTTGTGTTACAAAACCAAAAACCTAAGTATCCAGCACTCCAGCATATATTAGAAGTTACTACACATGCCTCATCCAATAGAACACATTTAAAAACTAATTTCTCTGATTTCCCATCACAACCACAAACCCAATTTGGAGCAATGTGATATAACCTTTTTAAGAAATCATTTCAACAAGAATTAGGCATCATACATCCCATTCAGCTCTTACTATGAATTAAGTTCAAAACAAAAGTTGCACAAATATATATCCAGGATTGATTTGCAATCTGAATTCAAATTTAGAACTCATGTTATTCACCTTTAACCATCCAAGGACAAAAGAGAAGGAAAATCTATGAGAAGCTCTCTTACTTAAATGCTAAATGGGCATGAAAACCATCTTACTGCTAATTATAAGAGTTGTTCAAATATGATTAACAAAGAAGAATCTGACCCACCTTTTCAAACTGGTAAAACCAACCAATGAACAAGGAGACCATAAAGTTGAGTAGGCTTGGTTTGACCATTTCTATTCTCGCATGTTTGAAATAAATCTTATATTTTGTGTTCATGAAAGAAATTTGTAGAATTTAACCATAGAAAGTAAGGTTCATCCATGAATGTGTTTATATATGTGATTACATGGATGCCTAAGTATTAAAATTGAGTGTTTTAGTTCAAGATATCAAATGATAAGTTGGGATGATATATTTGTATGTAAACATGGTGGGTTGCTGAATTGAGTAAATAAAAATCCTAGTTATAAGTTGAAATGAGTTTCCATGAATGTGCAGAATTTTTTTGTGTAGAGGCCCATCTGTTACGAATTTTGAAAACTAGTTACATTATGTGATGCTCCGCTATGAGTCTAGTACCTTGAGTAAAATTTTCAGAAGGAAAGATGTATAAATGAGTTTTATAAAAATCACGAACCAAGCTGTATTCAGTTTGGCAGATGATGCTGAAAGTATGTTTTTATGTTGCGGTTTTCGATTTTTTAAAATTAGATACCAAACTCTGTATTTTATGAAATTTTTGACATTCCTATATGTGTCTAGTAACTTGCGTACAAATTTAGGTGCAAAAATTGAGTAAATAGTTTCCAAGATAAAAAATATATAAAATTGTTGGTAAGTTATTTGTTTATTGTTTATATGGTTAAAATATAATAACCCTGTATTTAAGTAAATAATTTCTGGTAATTCGTAGAAGTGTTGGGCAGGCTATATTTGCATAAGAAATCAAATGTCAAGTTGAAGCATGTAAAATATGTGGGTCTAGTTGCATGTGAGGGAAACACATCTCAAGTTAGAGTTTGCAGGTGTTTTGTATGTGTATAATTTTGTGTACTGAGCTATTTGTAAATCCTGTGTAGGGTTTGAGTAACTTACGGAGATTGCTAACAAAGGGGAGAATTTGATAAATATGTGAGGATTAAGCAATTAAGATGAGAAATCTTATACCTTGTGCAATCTTGAACTCCATTTATGAAATACAAGAACTGAACTTAAAAAATGTGAACTCTTTCTAATATTGTGCTGTTACAAAGTTATGATTTGGAACATGCATTGAAACTTGGTTTATGGAATAAAACCCATGGTATCTCTTTGATCACACGATTACGTTTTGGAAATATTTTGAATGTCATCCACGGTTAATTATAGCTACTGGGGGACTGCAAACATACTAGTAGCCTCCGTTTTGAGACAGCTCCTCCATATGCCACTTGTTGGCCTCCATATGCCTCTTTGTAACCTCTGATAGGAGTCCGAGTCAACACAGCTCCTCTGGTTTCCGTTGTGATGGCCATTGTATATGAAAACATGTTTTGTATGGTTACAAGTTCACTTTCTACGAAAATCTCCACTATACATTTACTTGAAAATGCAAATGCTATTTTTATAAACTATATGGGATATGTTTATTATTTCTACCTTAGTATGATTTTACTCGCTGAGTGTCGACTCACCTGGTTGTATTTAACCATTTCAAGTGATAAAGGATAGAGGGAGGCCTTCGTACATATTTTTGTGCAGTAACTTTTAGAGCATTTTTATACCCGTCTAGCCTTGCTTGGTGAATTATGTAACGTCAGTGTACATAGTGATGTTGATTTTATGGCCAGTCATGTATTTTGACGACCACGTTTTGTATATGTAGTTTTGTGATGGACTTTGCATATAGGCACTTGCTCCAACAATGGGAATGTACTAAATTCTTGGACCTTTCCTTATCATAACTGGTTTTGTTTTGAGGTAAGCTCAGTTATTGGCCAGTCACGTCTCCTAATCTCAGGTTGAGGGTGTAGAATGTCACAATAATGGCGTGCAAAAATGGTAAGTACATAAAGAAAACTAATTTCATTTTTTTTTTGTAGAGAGATAAGCATGTTTAATCCACCAGTTAATTATGAAGAAGAGATTCTGCAAATCAAATCCACAACATACTTTCGTGGTCTTAGCTTCTTTTTAGCTTCCTTTGACCGCATTTTAACATGGTTTTTAGTCGATTCATCCAAGACACGCTGCACATTCAGCTTGCGCCAGGCACACCCTGATTCAACACCACTACAAAAAAATTCACTTTTAGCAGCCGCCAAAACTATCGCTAAAAGCAGAAAAAAGCGTCACTAAAAACTAAAAAACCTTTACCCGCGGTTGAAATAGCGACAGCCAAACCGCCGCAATAGCCCCGTCAACATATCCTTATAGTGACGTTTTCCTCAAACGCTGGTATAGTTATTTTTATTGTGACAGTCGATGTAGTGACAGTTATAAATGTCGCTATATCTTAAATTTACCCATTATTTGCTAACTTTATAGTGACGGGTCAACTGTTGCTATATCTTTCACTTTTTGTGACATTTTGTGAACCGCTGCTATATTTTAATTCTTTTCCATCTGTTTTACACTGTCGCTATAGCCATAAAATTCTTTTTGTATTTTATTTGCAGCGACAGTTATTAATCACGGTTATAGGCTATGTTTACTATTCAATTACCAATAATATATAACTTGAATGGAAGAGAAAAGACTTCCGAGGAGAATCTTCGTTTTAATGTACATTCACAATGGATAGTGGAATAGTATTCAAATGGACCATACATCTATATATAGCAATTTGATAGTGTAAAGAAGTTCCATTTTTTTATGAGCCGCCATAGATATTGAGCCAACTTTGAATAGCATGTAAAATGTGTGACAGGATGACAACATGCACACTGTCTGTAGACGTGTCTCAAGAGACCTTTGCAGTGATAATTTTAGAAGGCAGATTTTGGACCAAAAAAATATATATATAGAAAAAAATAAGGAGAGAGTAGAAAAAACAAAAATACACCCACATATACATCAATGTCTCTCATCTCTGTTCCCTAAATTTATATTCATATGCATAGCAAATAAAAATATATGAAATATTTTTTCTAGTATCCATGCCATGTCATTATTCTAATTTTTTTGAAAATCGATGTTGTCTGTGTTCGTACTAGTATCCATGTTAGCGTTTTAAAGTGTGATGCAGATCTACAAGAGGCATCTTAATTGTAAGATTCCCCAAACCTTTTACAGGATAATGCATAATGATATAAAACTCACCTGCATCATACAAGAAATAACAGGTAACCATGTGATACTTGATAAAGCCGCTCACAAGATGATAGAAGAATTTCTCAGAAGTAATAGTGTTGGCAAGCCGTTGGTTGAGAATGCGGCCATATACAAACAGCATAGCAGTGAAGAAAAAATGCCTGTTGAAATTAAAAGCAAACAGAAACAATTTGTCATATATAGCAATCAAACTCACTTGGAGATCATTGACAGAAATTTTGGATGTTAGTGAAACCCAAAAACAGGGCAAAGAAGGACAAGCTGGCCGTTGAAAGATACAACATGTTTGTTACAAATTATACAATTGTGTCAAAATTTGGTTCACTTAGAATTTAAATAAATTGAAAAAGCTCATTAGTTGTCATTCATTTAACTAATGAGCTTTCTCCAAGAATAGCTCTCCTAGATAAACACCACACTTCAGTTGACAGTTGAACATTGACAAGAATCTAGTTTGACATACCAATTCAACAACCTAAATCCTGGGAGGTCCCTTTCTTCGTGTCCTTTCCTGAGTAGATTGAACAACTCTTTTATCATAAAAATTTGGATAGCCACGACCATGGCCCAAATATAGAGATGGCCCATGTAGATTATGAATATAAAGCCCCCAATCATCCAAATAGATGAATATGTGCGAGTCAACATTGATCTGTATTTGTTTTGATCATTAAGAAGTAAATGGCTTCCATTTTCTTTGCCAACCTCAGGAGTAACCTCACTGTAATGCCCTCAAAATAATAACATTAAACCCAACAAATAAGACATGCATTGATATTCAAAAGTTCCACATTCTTTCATTTCTCAGAGTTTCATTACAAAAAGTATTACATGTTAACAATAAAAGCAAATGCCCCACAGGCTTACAGCTTTCCAAGTTAACACTTGGTTACAACAAAAGAGTACTAACTCATACACATTAAGCCCTTGGCTTGTATTTACATGTAATACATCAAAAGTAAATGATAAAAAGTATGTCCGCCTCTAGCCTCCCAAGCTATGTCCTTGGAGGTGGCATGCTTCCTGCACCTGAAAATGATATTCCCATATAGGGTGAGCCACAGCCCAGTAGAAATACACTAAACCAACCATGAACAATGACTAAAAGATTAGCAATTGATAGATGGCCAACACTGATACAATCACATAAATCACATTTTATGTCATACGACTTATGAGTCCAAGTTACTTTTCATTTTCCCCTTTTTAACAGATGAGCATATTAGCTCTATCATCATCTCAACAGATATGTATAAAAACTATATCCCACATTCACAGATAAGCATATAAGCTATATCCACATTCTACAACAGATATGTATAACACACAAGTATAATACTGATGAATCTGCTGCATCTTGTTTCCTATGCATGCATAAAGTGAATATTATTTTTAGTGAAGTAATATTGGTAATTGAATGATGTAGGAATTTCTTTTCAAAATTCTTTTGTGCAGTCTTAATGCTTGTACATTTTTCTTGAGGTTTTATCAGGTCGGAGTTGGAACCCAATGGAAAGTCACAATCATACTGTAAATCTAGATCTACTCACCAGTAATGTACCTTCTAATTCAACTCAATAATCAATGTGTATGTTCGAAAGTAAAGTGCTTCTCATTGCTAACTTCAAAACACACACACACAAAAAAAAAAAAAGAAGAAAAAACTGCTCACCACAAATGCAGAGATAATAGTTGTAACAGATGCCCCAATGAAACCCTCCCAAGTTTTCTTTGGAGATAACTTGATCAAAGGGGTTCTTCCAAAGAAGAATCCGAAGAAATAAGCAGCAATATCATTGATAACAATAAGTGATGCTGGAAGAAGGAACCTGTGTTAAAAACAAATGCTCTTCATTTATGCAATACTTTAAAATCAAAAAAGGGAGGGGAGGGAAAGAAAGAAATAATATAAATTTAAAAAAACTTCGCAATTACATAAAGAAGCCATCTGAAGTGCAATACAGTCATGGTGCATAATTGTCAAGTTCTCGGGGAAGAAAAAAGAAAAAGAAAAATTGAATACAGTGGTTATGGATTGCCTAAATTTGAAGGAGGTATCAAAACAGAACCATTGTCGTTATCCCCTTGAGCGATAATCAAAGAAACAGTTAAAAAATCTCTGTCTTCAGTTTTTCTTTTCCCTTTATTTTTTGTTTGCGTATTTTTGTTTGTGAGTGTATACTGCTTTAACTAAGACTACATGCTCCTTACAAAAAAGAGTGCTTAACACAGCCCGATCAGTTTGATACTCCCAAAATATATGATTTTACGAAAAAAGCCTCAAATGTACAGTATGACATATATATGGTTTACATATTAGAGTTTGATATAATTCCAAAACCTAAAAGCTTTGAAACATATGTTACCAGAAAATTCCTTCAAAAATGTTGGCTACGGTGAAGGAGGATTGTGTGAACACCACAATTAGAATCATGTGTGTCCATGCATATTGGCCAAATTGATACTTGTACATCTTCTTCTTTAGTGTAAGAATGAACCACATAAAGCCTGAATTCAGCAGCAAGGCATCACAAATGACATGTCAGGGCTAATATGAAAAGCAATGAACCAATAGATTAACAGGCAAGCATTTAAAAGATAATACATCAGAAAAAAAATAAAATGCATAATGGAATGCCCATTGGTTTTTCCAAAACAATCTACAATTGACATACCTTTGAAGCACGGACACTCCAAAATAGGCTCTGTGTCTGTGTCCGACATGTGTCTAAACCAACATAGCACAGACACATGTGCCCACATATCGGACATGCCGCATGGTGTGTTAATTTTTAATCATTATTTTTTTACAAGACACGTTGGGACACTTGATGAACACATGTATCTTGTGTGTAGATGTGTCTCAAGCGACCTTTACAGTCATAATTTTAGAAGGCAGATTTTGGATCAAAATAAAATATACAGAAAAAAATAAGGGGAGAGTAGAAAAAACAAAAATACACCCACATATACATCAATGTCTCTCATCTCTGTTCCCTAAATTTATATTCATATGCATAGCAAATAAAAATATATGAAATAATTTTTCTAGTATCCATGCCATGTCAGTATCCTAATTTTTTTGAAAATCGACGTTGTTTGTGTTCGTACTCGTGTCCATGTTAGCATTTCAAAGTGTGATACAGATCTACAAGGGGCATCTTAATTGTAAGATTCCCCAAACCTTTTGCAGGAAAATGCATAATGATATAAAACTCACCTGCAATATACAAGAAATAACAGGTAACCATGTGATACTTGATAAAGCCGCTCACAAGATGATAGAAGAATTTCTCAGAAGTAATAGTGTTGGCAAGCCTTTGGTTGAGAATGCGGCCATATACAAACAGCATAGCAGTTAAGAAAAAATGCCTGTTGAAATTAAAAGCAAACAGAAATAATTTGTCATATATAGCAACCAAACTCACTTGGAGATCATTGACAGAAATTTTGGATGTTAGTGAAACCCAAAAACAGGACAGAGAAGGACAAGCTGGCCGTTGAAAGATACAACATGTTTGTTACGCATTACACAGTTGTGTCAAAATTTGGTTCGCTTAGAATTTAAATAAATTGAAAAAGCTCATTAGTTGTCATTCATTTAACTAATGAGCTTTCTCCAAGAATAGCCCTCCTAGATAAACACCACACTTCAGTTGACAGTTGAACATTGACAAGAATCTGGTTTAACATACCAATTCAACAACCTAAATCCTGGGAGGTCCCTTTCTTCGTGTCCTTTCCTGAGTAGATTGAACAACTCTTTTATCATAAAAATTTGGATAACCACGACCATGGCCCAAATATAGAGATGGCCCATGTATATTATGAATATAAAGCCCCCAATCATCCAAATAGATGAATATATGCGAGTCAACATTGATCTGTATTTGTTTTGATCATTAAGAAGTAAATGGCTTCCATTTTCTTTGCCAACCTCAGGAGTAACCTGACAGCCAAAAGAAAAAAAAAAAAAGAAGAAAACATTAACCCTGACATTCAGAAGAAGCCATACACTCCTTTCAAGATCTTATCCATTTTCTTATTGTAGTAGGAAACTATAAAAAAAGTTCCTAAAAAACGACCACTTCCAACCATGTCTTATTCGGAAAAACAATAGTGATGGTTTCAAGAGGCCTTGAGCCCCAACAATAAGATAGATGCTAGTTTTTCCTCAATGAGTACTAATGATCAAGTTTCATAAGTTGAACCAATAATAATATTTAAGAGTTGAAAAATATGGAAAACGATTGAGACCCCTAAAAAGTATCCCCTAATTTACCCACAATGGCATGGCAGGTTACACATCAACTTCTCATTTGTCACAAACTAAACCATATAAAGCCCAACTCCCTTGCCATGTCTTTGAGGTAAATTGTGGGTCTCTAGCATTCCTCAAAAAACATTAGCAACCAACGGGGGCAACTACAGTTCTCTACAAGAGATTGCTTTTTTAATTTATTTTTTTAATTTTTTTATTTTTATCAGCACTCTATAAGAGATTGCTACAATAAATAAATGGTAAAACTAAGCTACCAACCTCATTTGAGCGTCTACGGTGCCGAAGCCGTCCAGTGGGCACTGCTGTGGCACTGCCATGATCCTTTTGCATGGCTCTTTGATTTACTTTTTACTCAACTAACAAGAAATAAAAGCATAAATATGTTTATACACAGATCCCCTGAAACATTTAGACAAAGAATGGTAAACATGAGGTAGGCATATAATATTCTTTAAGACCATTGTAAATTCAAAGAAAAAAGTTGAGGGCAAAATGATTTACAAAGTCAAACCAATATTTTACAAGAGCCGCCTAATGACATTGCTCAAACTTGATTTATGGGGATATATGTCATGTAAATGTGTCAATACTGCAAGGTTGTAGCACAAGAATCACCATCAAGATCACTGATTTATGGGCAATAATGTTTTGTGTGTTAAAGAACACAAGAAGCTAGAGATAACTATGCAATGTATTGCGGTCTTTTTTCGATAAGTAACAATTCATTCCAGTCTTACTCCGTAAAAAACCACCCCAACTCAACTGTCTACGATAATTTTACAATTTCTCATTCTACCCATCCCAATACAATGCAGATATTGAGTAGAGATATAGGACATCGTTTTTATTTATTTATTTATTTTTTTTTTTGATAAATATAGGACATCATTTTTTTCACTCTTCTAACATCCTTTCACTTCCTCTTCATTGAACCACCTTACACCTGGACCATATTACTACTCATTGGTGCATTAACTAAGTAGGTGAGGTGGTAGTGGTGTAGTGGGTTAGGTTTAGTGGAGTAGGTTTAAGTGAGTGAAGGTTTAGTGGAGTAGGTAGATTTTAACAATAAAAGTACCACGCATGGGTAGATCAGTTGGCCAAGATGACGGATGAAGAAGAACTAGTCTCAAGTTAGACTCTCCCTAAGCTTAGCCAATGTAAATGGTTCGTGGGTGATGATCTTGTGCATTCATTAGGTTAAGCCTCAATTCAAATGGGTGTCAATTTTACCCAAAAATTCCAAATTGAAATACCTAACTCCTATTAATTAATATTTCAGCAACAAAATCACATATTTTAAAGACTTACTCAAAAGTCCCAACCACTGATTGCTTTCACAACACTAAAATCTGTACTTATATATTATAATGTGAACACATTAGTTGGTACTCTAAACCCAAAAGTGAAGCTATGTAATACTTTTTTCAATTCCAAAAACATCACAAAAATTTATTTATGTACCATCTAAAATAATCATGTCTCCACTAAATATAGGGGCAAATTGGCAAATGATTCAGTTAAAACCCATTTGCTAACTTCATAGTCTTTGCAGCCAAGTAAGGGTTTCAAACATGTGGGATTGTACAAGAATCTCAAAATTAAAATTTGAAGAACAAAATGTAAAAATAGTTTTCCAAAGTATGAATTGAAGTTAAATGTGAAAAGTATAAGAATTCTTACAGACAAATCTGAAGTACTGTAGACCTCGCTTTTCCAAAATTTGAACCTGGAAATCCAAACCACAACAACATTTACTTCGAAATCAATACTATATATATACATACATATAAATAGAGAGAGAGAGAGAGAGAGACCTGCTTCTATGGGGAGAGAACGCCAGTTGGAATAACCATTCTTGTGAATGAAAGAGATAAGCCTCAAATCCTCAGCAGGGCTCCATGGACCTGTCTTCACCTTGCTCTTGTCACAACATGGTGCTCTCCCTCTACCCATATCCCCAAGATGCTCTCTCTCTCTCTCTCTCCCTTCTCTCTCTCTATATATATACCTCCCTCCCTCTCTTGGAGCCAAAATCAGCCAAATGATAAGAATGAGGGATTTGAGTGTATAGTGCCTTTGTACAACACTCTCCACTAATTTCATTATAATAATAATAACAATTGGGCACTAATTCATTAATTTAATCAACTTAATCTAGTCTGAATCAATTTTTCAACTAAACTTCACCGTAGGGTCTAAAAGTTTTGCCAATCACAATGGCACAATCAATTTTGGTTTCGGTGGCCGATGAGGCCTTCAATTTAAATTCTTAATTAGATAATCAAACAGATATTCCTGCAGTGAATAGATAGAAATATAAAACCACATATAACCGTTATGACACCACCATCCAGTGTCTTCACCAATGGTCTGACACGACCATACAGTGTCTCCTATCCTTTTTATGTATTTTCTTGTTTTGTTCCTCTCTTCAAACTCAAGTTGGTTAGTTTCTATCCTCCTTGAGTTTGCGGGGGGCTGTTAGAATTTACCATCACCTACCACCACTACCACCTCACCTACTCCACTAAACCTTCACCCACTTAAACCTACTCCACTAAACCTAACCCACTACACCACTATCACCATCCACTACACACCATCCACTACACCTACATCTATATAAGGAACCATTTGTAATAGACATAATATGAAGATCAATATCAATACCCACTACACCATTACCACCTCACCTACTCCACTAAACCTAACCCACTACACCACCATCCACTACACCTACATCTATATAAGGAACCATTTGTAATAGACATAATCTTGTAATATCAATATATCAATCAATAATAATACATACAATTTATTCTCTCTCTTTCTCTATACATTATTTCTTACATATATATATATATATATATAAGAAAAAGAATCAATTTGTGTTTCGTTTTCTTTTCAAAAGATGGAGTAAAATAATAAAATAAAAAAAAGAAAAAGAAAGTTGAGTGGGGAACAGGAGTGTGTGAAAAGAAAAAAGGAAAAAATATGGGTTGGAGAATCTGAGCATCGGAGAAGATGAGAGGAAAAGGAAGTGGAGTGGTATATGCCAAGTGGTACAGCAAAATCTACGTCCCAAACTTTGTTTCAGCGATAGAAAACATCAGTGTACAGATGAGAACATCTGGATTCGGAGTAGCTGTCACAGGAGAAACATAATCCCTCTTCTTAACAAACCAAGCAAAACCAAACAATCCCAATAGGAGCGTCCAGAAGGACAGCTCGGAGATGAAGTCTCTCACGGCTGCAAAACCGATTAAGCCAGCTACTGTAAGAAGGTATGGTTGGCTGTCTACAGAGTCTAGAACAGAAGCTTCAGCAATGGCAATTACGGAAGACACCAGCACAATGATCAGAGTCAGCTCTGGAATAGGAGTATATGCTATCACTGCTGAGTAGAAAGCTCGAATGGTGTAAAGTGTAGTTTCTATTCCTCTGATCAGAGAAGTTACTGGATCACCAATGAAATGGAAAATAAGGGGCAGTGCAAGTTTTAAGAGGTATCCCACGAACCGGGTAATACTTGATAAAACCTTTTTCCAGTTGGACAACTCCCACAAGACTGTTCTCCAGGCATACAAAAGGAAAACAAGAGCTATGAACCAAGGCCACCTAACAAGTGGGCTTGGGGCTTCCTTGGTCAAGGGCCTGAACCGGTCAGGCATGGTACTGTGCCCAGAGTGTACCCAGTAAAGGGTAGTAGAGAGGGATGATTGTGAAGAGGACGCTTTCGAAGCTGCCGTTGCCGACTTGGATGACGCCGATGAAGGTGGTGATGATATTATAGCGAAAGTGACTTTCGACATGAATGAAGTGCCTACAAGGGTTCCACCAGATAGCCCTTTGGCACCTCAATGGTATAGACTAGAGCATCGGAAAGGTGAGACCAAGGTGAAAGGAGAGGAGGTATGTGTTGAAGGTTTCAATTGGTTGAGGTCCGGCGGGCGGTTAAGGCAAGGTTGCAACCCGCCAGAAGGCAAAGAGCACCAAGAGCTTAACCTATAGCTCTGATACCATATTAGAGTTGATGTATAGAGAAATAGAGAGAATGAATTATATATTGATTTATGTTGTACAATGGTTTAAGTGGGTGAAGTAGGTGGAGAGTATGTGGATTTAGTGGGTTAGGTTTAGTGGAGTAGGTTTAAGTGGGTGAAGTAGGTGGAGAGTATGTGGATTTAGTGGGTTAGGTTTAGTGGAGTAGGTTTAAGTGGGTGAAGTAGGTGGAGAGTAGGTGGATTTTAACATAGTAACTTTTAGAGCATGTTTATACCCGTCTAGCCTTGCTTGGTGAATTATGTAATGTCAGTGTACATGGTGATGTTGATTGTATGGCCACTGTCATGTATTTTGACAACCACATTTTGTATATGTAGTTTTGTGATGGACTTTGCATATAGGCACTTGCTCCAACAATGGGAATTACTTATTTCTTGGACCTTTCCTTATCATAACTGGTTTTGTTTTGAGGCCTTGGTAAGCTTGGTTATTGGCCAGTCACATCTCCTAATCTCAGGTTAAGGGTGTAGAATGTCACAATAATGGCGTGCAGAAATGGTTCAAGTACATAAAGAAAACTACCATTCAGGATTGTCAGTCCAATCAATCAAACAAACAATAAGGAAAATGAAAACGAACAAAAATCATAGTGCTTGTATTTTGTAAAGAGACTAAATTTAAGAAGATGCATAGCATATACGATAGTGGGGAAGAAAAAGGGTAGTGATAGTAGTCAACTTACAGAACACTGGCACCGACAACAGAAAGGGGGCGTGGATAATCCTCAATTTCCTTGACATTCCTAACAGCATTAGAGATCCCTGAAGAAAAAACATTTGCATGATCATCCTCAGCAGATGGTGCTTCAACCGTATCTCCAGAGCTTGTCTCTGGCTGGGACAGTGTATCATCTCTTCCAATTCTTAATATTTCTTGAGTCAAGGATGGAAGCCTGTCCCTTGCCTATGATCATAGTTAATATAAATATTAGATCCAGGACAATCAGATAGGTTGAGCATATTATTAACTAAGATTTTGTTCAAAAAATATTATTAACTAAGATACGAAACAATTCTCTCATAAAAATGCATTAGCAAATAAGGGTCCTAATACCTGTAAAAATTAATTACAACCACATACCACATACCACATACCTCAGGAATATCAATCTTATTTAGTACAACAATATATGGTCTTTCCAGGTACTCAGGATTATACATCCTCAATTCCTGCAACATCAAAATTCATAGACCTTAGAGAAATGAAAGTTGAAAGGGTAGCAGAAAAAAGATTCTGCATGTGATTAGACAAAAAGCAGAGTTTGTTGTTTGGATCAACCAACTAAACAAGTAATCTACAACATTTATTATTTATTTATTTCTCTTTTAAAAAAAACAAAACAAAACAAAACAAAACAAAAATTGATTACATGAAAATGCTGGGATTTGACATTCAGATCAATCAGGCAAAATGGGATACGACACGAATGCATACAAATTTCATCTCAAAACAATTCTCGAAGTTCAAACACAAGAGACAACGACAAGGATTATTAAAACAAAAAAGGTAAAAAATAAACAAAATAGTATATTAATATGTTAAGAATGAATGCATGACACCCTGATGAATCATGCTTAATTTGTCAATAATTGAAGTCTTAGCCGCAAAACAAATTTTAGCACTTAACCAAACTGTTAAAAATTGATGTATAAAGAAATAGAGAATTGTATTATTGATTGATATATATTGTGTTTACAATGAGTCCTATATATAGAAGATTAGAGGAGGTAGGTATGTAGTAGGTGGAGTAGTATGTGGAATAGGTGAAGTGGGTGGAGTAGGTGTAGTGGTAGGTTTTGGTACATTTTAACAGCCCCCCGCAAACTCAAGGGGGATAGGAACTAACCAGCTTGAGTTTGGAGAGAGTAACAAAAACAAGAAAAATAGACTAATACATAAAATAAAAGAGGATAGGAGACACTGTATGGTCGTGTCAGACCGTTGTAGAAGACTGTATGGTTATGGCAGACCGATGTAGAAGACACTGGCTCGTGTCGAACCGATGTAGAAGACAGTTTATGGGGTCATGTCGGACCGGTGTAGAAGACAATTTACGGAGTCTTGCTGGACCCTTGTAGAAGCTAACCGGAATCAATGTCGGGACAGTTTACAGAGTCTTGTCGGACCCATGAAGGAGCTAACCGGAATCAATGTCGGGACAGTTTACAGAGTCTTGTCGGACCCTTAAAAAGTCGCACCCTCAAAAGGTGTGCCCAATCTTTCAAAAAGCGTGCCATCAAAAGGCGTGCCCAATCCATAAAAAGGCGTGCCATCAAAAGGCGAGCCCAAGTCATAAAAAGATGTGCCGGACATGATGGCGAGGCGCGTCACCACATTGGCTTGCGCGCCCGTTTTGTCGTCTGGCGTCAAGTGGCGCGCGATGCGCGTGTCTGCCATGGCTATTTAACCAAGACGGATGCTGAGGCTGAAGCAGAGGCTAAGACAAAAAACTGGCTAAATGATGCTGAAAGTAATGTTTTTATGTTGCGGTTTTTGATTTTTTAAAATTAGATACCAAACTCGGTATTTTATGAAATTTTTGACATTCCTATATGAGTCTAGTAACTTGTGTACAAATTTAGGTGCAAAAATTGAGTAAATAGTTTCCAAGATCAGAAAAGTATAAAATTGTTGGTAAGTTATTTGTTTATTGTTTATATGGTTAAAATATAATAACCCTGTATTTAAGTAAATAATTTCTGGTAATTCGTAGAAGTGTTGGGCAGGCTATATTTGCATAAGAAATCAAATGTCAAGTTGAAGCATGTAAAATATGTGGGTCTAGTTGCATGTGAGGGAAACACATCCCCAGTTAGAGTTTGCAGGTGTTTTGTATGTGTATAATTTTGTGTACTGAGTTATTTGTAAATCCTATGTGTAGGATTTGAGTAACTTGCAGAGATTGCTAACAAAGGGGAGAATTTGATAAATATGTGTGGATTAAGCAATTAAGATGAGAAATCTTATACCTCGTGCAATCTTAAACTCCATTTATGAAATACAAGAACTGAACTTATAAAATGTGAACTCTTTCTAATATCGTGCTGTTACAAAGATATGATTTGGAACATGCATTGAAACTTGGTTTATGGAATAAAACCCATGGTATCTCTTTGATTACATGATTATGTTTTGGAAATATTTTGAATGTCATCCACGGTTAATTATAGCTACTGGGGGACTGCAAACATACTAGTAGCCTCCGTTTTGAAACAGCTCCTCCATATGCCACTTGTTGGCCTCCATATGCCTCTTTGTAACCTCTGATAGGAGTCCGAGTCAACACAGCTCCTCTGGTTTCCGTTGTGATGGCCATTGTATATGAAAACATGTTTTGTATGGTTACAAGTTCACTTTCTACGAAAATCTCCACTATACATTTACTTGAAAATGCAAATGCTATTTTTATAAACTATATGGGATATGTTTATTATTTCTACCTTAGTATGATTTTACTCGCTGAGTGTCGACTCACCTGGTTGTATTTAACCATTTCAAGTGATAAAGGATAGAGGGAGGCCTTCGTACATATTTTTGTGCAGTAACTTTTAGAGCATTTTTATACCCGTCTAGCCTTGCTTGGTGAATTATGTAACGTCAGTGTACATAGTGATGTTGATTTTATGGCCACTGTCATGTATTTTGACGACCACGTTTTTATATGTAGTTTTGTGATGGACTTTGCATATAGGCACTTGCTCCAACAATGGGAATGTACTAAATTCTTGGACCTTTCCTTATCATAACTGGTTTTGTTTTGAGGTAAGCTCAGTTATTGGCCAGTCACGTCTCCTAATCTCAGGTTGAGGGTGTAGAATGTCACAATAATGGCGTGCATAAATGGTAAGTACATAAAGAAAACTACCATTCAGGATTGTCAATCCAATCAATCAAACAAACAATAAGGGAAATTAAAACGAACAAAAATCATACTGCTTGTATTTTGTAAAGAGACTAAGTTTAAGAAGATGCATAGCATATATGATAGTGGGGAAGAAAAGGGTGGCGATAGTAGTCAACTTACAGAACACTGGCACCGACAACAGAAAGGGGGCGTGGATAGTCCTCAATTTCTTTGACATTCCTATCAGCATTAGAGATCCCTGAAGAAAAAACATTTGCATGATCATCCTCAGCAGATGGTGCTTCAACTGTATCTCCAGAGCTTGTCTCTGGCTGGGACAGTGTATCATCTTTTCCAATTCTTAATATTTCTTGAGTCAAGGATGGAAGCCTGTCCCTTGCCTATGATCATAGTTAATATAAATATTAGATCCAGAACAATCAGATAGGTTGAGCATATTATTAACTAAGATTTTGTTCAAAAAATATTATTAAGATACAAAACATTTCTCTCACAAAAATGCATTAGCAAATAAGGGTCCTAATACCTGTAAAAATTAATTACAACCACATACCACATACCTCAGGAATATCAATCTTGTTTAGTACAACAATATATGGTCGTTCCAGGTACTCAGGATTATACATCCTCAATTCCTGCAACATCAAAATTCATAGACCTTTAGAGAAATGAAAGTTGAAAGGGTAGCAGAAAAAAGATTCTGCATGCGATTAGACAAAAAAGCAGAGTTTGTTGTTTGGATCAACCAACTAAACAAGTAATCTACAACATTTATTTATTTATTTCTCTTTAAAAAATAAATAAATAAATAAAATTGATTACATGAAAATGCTGGGATTTGCCATTCAGATCAATCAGGCAAAATGGGATACGACACGAATGCATCCAAATTTCATCTCAAAACAAGTCTCGAAGTTCAAACACATGAAACAACGTCAAGGCTTATTAAAACAAAAAAGGTAAGAAATAAACAAAATACTTAATTAATATGTTAAGAATGAATGCATGACACCCTGATGAATCATGCTTAATTTGTCAATAATTGAAATCATAGCCGCAAAACAAATTTTAGCACTTAACCAAACAGAAAGAACTAAAACTGTACCCAGAGATTGATGATGTAACTTCTTCTCATGTTCTTCAAAAAAAGAAAGAAGATAATTCTAGCAATGGGATACTGAAGCAAGAGAGTTTTAAGAAATAATTGGTTTTTATTGTGTGTGGGTGTGGGTGTGGGTGTGGAGGGATCTTCTAGATCTCCATTTGAGATGTTGAATAGAGGGAATAAGTATAATGCAGTTGGCCATTGTTGACCTAGTCTTTACATGTTGAACAAAAGAAGGGGGGAAAGAAAAAATAAATTGGCCAGTAAAAAAATAAATTTAAGTTCATGTAACAGAGTACTGGTTGTTCATTGTGGACCTTGAAACACTTCAATTGGCCAGTAAAAAATAAATTTAAGTTCATGTAACAGCAGACAAATATCCATCCAGCAGTGACCCTTGTGTAATAATCTAATGAATTCATTAGCAGAAATGACATCAACAGCCCTACCTTATCTAGACCAACAATAATTTTTATTTTTTATTTTTTTGAAAAGAAAAAGTAAACTTGCAAGGTTTATGATTGGGTGAAGACATACTTCTCTTACAGTGCGGTAGTCATCCACAGGATTCTCAGCAGCTGCATCAACAACTTGAACCAACAAGCGAGTCCTCCTCAGGTGCCGCAAAAAATTGCGACCAAGACCCTGCAGATGACAAAGAAAGGCACTAGCTACTTAGAGGTTAAAAATATGTCAATGTCATAGAGCAAGATGCAAATTCTGGATTACCTTCCCCAGATGAGCACCTTCAATAAGACCAGGCAGATCTGCCAATGTTGCTTCAGATGAATACTTCCCTGCCCCTAAACCAGGGTCACCGTCGAGGCGTCCAAGGTTTGGCATTAAGGTTGTGAAGGGATAATCAGCAATATCAGGTTTTGCAAGTGTTATGGCTGCCAATAGGGTTGATTTGCCAGCATTTGGGAGTCCCTGAAAAAAATAAATAAATAAATAAAAATACACACATAAATCTCCAGTGATTTAAAGAGCAAAGGTCTAGAATGCTTAAAAAGTCAATATACGTAAATAATTTTTCACTCAATCAAATTGTGAACTTGTTCTTGAACGACATCCTAAATAAACAAAAGAAAATAGGTAAAAGGGTAAATCTGGATAATTAATTTGACAATCTGACAATGAAGAAGAAAAAGGATCTCACACCATTCATTCAAAGGAAGAGAGAGGCTTGGCATGCAGGGTACTCTGCATACTGTGGGATATAGGTCTTTTCATTGAATGGAGGGACTTTTATGGAATTGAGGTTTTTGGAGCTTTCTATTTTGTCGGACAAAGGGCAGATGTCTTCCTTCCTTGAGGCATTTTTCCTTTAGTAGATACTTTTATTACGCCCTGGACAGAGCTGAATGGCAAAAAAGGCCCCAATTGATTGGGACACAAGGTAGTTTGGTTTGGTTTGGTTAGATACTCTGTTACCTCAGTTCAGTCATGTAGCTTGACTTTTTCATGAAATATTTTTTCTCATCAAATAGAGAGAGAAAAATTAATCTCAGACTATCCAGATTCTCCCTGTTATTTTAAAAGACCCTTCACTATTTATATGATCTAAACACTTCATTCAAGGGGCTTCAGATGGTTGAGTAAGTTACAACAAATTCCAAGTCTGCCAAAGGGCTAAACTTCCAGACAGAAAGGTTGACTGATAGGTTCAGTTTAAGCATGCTGGAATAGTGAAATTCAGACAGATCATACGACCCAAAGCATAACCATTACTGATGAAGACCATTAAAACTTAAAAGAAGGTCACATGCAGTCACAATGGCATGACTGTCAATCTATATACAATCATATTGATACCTCAGATTCACATAAAACATGCATATGTGCAATGGAAAATAAAAAATAAGGAATAATTATAACAAAACCAACTACCGATAATACACATTTACATGATACATATCTATATGTGGCAAAGAAAAATGAAAAAATATATATATATACTTACGACAAGACCAACATCAGCAACAACTCTTAGTATTAACTCCAAACTAACCTCCTCCCCTGGCTGACCAAAAGATAAAACCTGCAATGCATTGGCAATGACATTTTCATGATAAGAAAGGTGAATATCATCATAAAGATACCTAGCCTTTAACTAGTTCTTGAAGGCCCAAACTTATGTTAAGCTTTATAATCAGAAAATTCTTCAATAGCAAGGGATTACATATGATTGTAGGTTTTGGCATGGTGTTTACGTTTACCCCATTCCTAAATACATTATGCTGGATAGTCAGACAATGTTTTCCATTGAGGTGGTACAAGGTTCATCTTACCTGACAATCAATAGCTAGCATGTAGTGGTATACTGTTGTTTGAGTAATATTGCTAAAATTATTAGTGACGTAGCCAATTGTTCCTAGTCATCATCAGTCCTTCCATTAAAAATTGTATGTGAATTATACAGAAGTCATATTACTAATTCATGTGCATAAAAATGTCATTCATAGAAATTAGATACTTTTAGTAACAAAAATTTACCTATGACAGCTTGAAAATTAAGTACATTCAAGAACCATTGCTTGGTGGTACAATGGTAAAAGAGCATATGCCACCAAGTTTCTGAACATGGCTTTGAGTTGGAGAGGAGCTACATTCTATAAATAATGCAAAAGGTTGGTCTGTATCCAGTGAACCTATCCCTGTAACTGATATTGGTGGACCAACACTGGGTAATAGCCATTTCTAAATCTAGCTTCATTTCATGAATTTCCCTACCTAGACTTCATTTTTTCAAAAGCATACATACTTTATGATTCAATTTATTAAAAAATAATATATTTCTAGCTGTCACACTCTTCTTTGTTTGGCAGCTCCAAGTCAATATGTTGCAAGAACAATTTTGAAATTACAGTAAAGATATCTGAGAATTATTATGTTTTATTGGATGGCTGAACCTTGTAATTTCAAATACATCATATTGCAGGCAGCACAAAATCAAAACCATGACTGGACATAACTTGGAGAGACAATCTAGAGGCCTTGGGAGCTTATACTCTAGCAGATTGATTTGCCTATCAATAGAAAATAACTAGTACAAAATTAGCTTATTAACTTAATAAAATCAAGCCAGTAGCAGATCAATGATTTTTTGGCTCCCAAGCCAATTAAATTCAAATTTGATTCATGAAAATAAATTGAATGCTCATGTCTCGCAATATTATGAGAATTGTTGATATTTACCTTGTCAGTTTCATCTCTCAGCACATTTGTTGTTAAGGCCATTACTCTTTTTCTTCTGTGCTCTGGCATTTCTACCAAGCTAATCTGCCACGTGTAAAAGAGGAACCCAATTACAGATCTGCATTGAGTATACAAGCCCAAACACATAAAATCATACTGATACCAACAAAGTGTATTTTACATCAGAACATCTCTAATGCAAGCAAAATATATTCCAAAAAAATAAACCCTTGATATCTTTATCCAACATGCCTTGTATTACTTGAAAGCATTGAGGTCAAATCGCAAATCCAATCATGAATAATTTTGCTAAATTAGTGAATCATGAATCGCAAAATTCACTTTATTTACCATAATATATAATTTTATATATGTATGTATATTAAAATACATATAATGTTTAAAATAAAATAAATATCAATATAACAAATATATATATATGTATAAATAAAACTACATATATCAATACAATTAGCTGATCTATTTTTTTTATTTTGTGAAGACGGCATTTCATACATTATGCAAACAAAACTAAATCATTTGAATCACAATTGAATCATACGATTGACTGAATTAAGATTCAATTGCATAAATCGTACTATTTTGCTTGAAACTCCTATTGAACCATATGAATCGAATTGTGAATTGTAAGATTCTAACCACAATGCTTGAAAGTGTAGATATTGATATAAAGTTTAGGATAGAAAACATAGTCGAGAGACTTACTAAACGTTTCAATCTAGGTAGCCAATACCATGAACATCATCTACAACATTCTATGAAGCACAGGTACTCCAAAAATGGTGTCCTACTAGTATCAGATACTTACCGGGTGCCGGAACCCGTACCGGAACCCGTACCGGTACGGCTACGGCAAATACGTTTGGGTACGTCGTGGGTACGGCATGGGTACAGGTACGAGTACAGCGAGGTTTTTTTTTTTTTTTTTTGCAACTGCTAGAATTTGTTGCAGCCTTTATTATTCTTCTTTCAACTTCGAAAATCATCAAGTAATTTATTTCCAACACCCTTTACCCATAAGTCCTAGTTTTCTCTCTTTTGCATCCTGCTTTAGACAATCAAAAAGAAAAAGAAAGAAATATATAACTTTTTAGACAAACTATTCTCTTTTTAGTTTTGATATTGAAATTTTGATTTGTATATTGAATGTTTAGCTATAAATTTTTTAAAAAAATTTAAAAAAAAAAAAATTGACGTACCCCAACCGTACTCATACCCTGATCCTACTTTTTTAAGAATTTGTCGTATCGGCATACGCATATCGTATCCGTACCCGCACCCACGCTTCACAGCATTTCACTAGGTTTGAGAGGAGAGATGTCTCACCCCTCCTTGTCCACCCCTTGCAACAAGAATTTCATCCCCTGGGCGCGCTAAATCAGCCAAAAACTTGCCCCGTTTAAGTTTTACAACAGTACCTGCCAATGATTAAAAAAAATGAAAAAACATATAAGGAATTGACTCTATCTGCAAACTTTTGATAGCTGTTGAGAAAAAGAAGCGGTACCCATTATGAAGTATTAACCACCCTTGAATATTTTCAACTACAATTTCTGGCCCTATGCTTGTAAAGAGGCATAAAATCCTGCTAGAAGCCTTTATTTTATATAACTCAGCAATGTAACATACAAACCTAAAGGCACAGGAATACGCAATGTTGGAGCAGCAAACCCATTATGTAATTGAGATGTTAAAACTCCCATTGCAGCAACATTTCCCCCACGCTTTGCATTAAACCGGCTCTTCTTGTGAAACTCCAATAACGAGTCTTTGCCCTCATCCACATAAATTACAACATCCCCACCATGCCCACCCATAGGAAGGATGAGAGACCCATCAAAATCCCTTTTATATGAACTTTTCTTCTTTGTTTTCTCCTTTTCATGTTTTCCTTGTGACTTTGAAGGAGTTCTTTGATTAGGCATACTAAGAATGGCGCCATGGCCTCCATCTCCAGAACGAACCGTAACAATTACTTGATCAAAATATTTGTGGGGTTCTCTTATCAGTGTATCTAGGCTCGGGGAAGGAGATTCTTTCACCCTGGCAAGTCTGCAGTTTACTGTACAGTGTCTAGAATTTTTATCATTGCCTCTTTGTCGATTAAAACTATAAAAAAAAGAAGACCAACGGTTATTGCAATTACAACAATATATATATTCAAGAGACAAAGTGAAATAGCATTGCCTATTTACAAAACAAGGTGTATTGAACTAGCCTCAAATGAATAATTTGTTCAAGAAAAGATGGCTGGAAGTAAAAGATTTTCTTTGTTCTCAATAGAAATGAGTGAAAACAAAAATTATTATTATGAATTACCATGAACCAATGTCATATCAAATGGAAGAGCTTCTCTAAAAAGTAACCACACTATCGAAAAACTGTAGAAGATTTAAGAGATAGTTTCAATTGTCTAACTATTAAGCTCGCCAATTTTGGAAATTATCACAATTATGATAAATGGAATCACATAATAGAAAAAAAAATTTCATAAAAAAATGGTCAAACTACAAAAACCATCAAAACAATATAAATTAAACTAAAAATACAGCTGAATTTTCAAGCATTAGAAGGTAAAAAAAAGAAAAAGAAAAAGAAACCATGATCACTACTGATGACATGGAATCAAATTTTAGTTAATATATGCCAATGTTTTCAACTCTTAGCCCATCTTTGTCAAATGACTAAAGTTATATCAATCTTCAAAAGCTAAATTAAACAAAATAAAGATGTCAAATTGCTATGAAACACCCAAACGCACTCTAAAATTAAAAAATTAGATAACTCAATGCAACTTCATAATTGAATTGACCTGAAAAAAGAATTGTGTGGTTCAATGGAGGTCAAATTTCAAAGATTATTTCTACTTAAGCAATGTGTGAGTGTATATACATACAGAATTGCAAGTGTAATATCGTTTGTGTTACTTCAATTTTGTCGAGAATCAGAGGGAGTGTTGACGAGTAGAGAGAAACATCGTACCTTTTGGGAAGAAGACGGTCGGGTGATAAAGATGAGAGAGAGGCCAACGAATCGTTTCGAAGGTTCAAGCTGAAATGCATACAAGTTGTCTGTGGAAATACCACAGAGACCGAAGGTTCAAGCTGAAATGCATACAAGTTGTCTGTGGAAATACCACAGAGACCATTTTCACTATCTGAGTGAGAGAGAGAGAGAGAGAGCGCTCTGTTGCGCGATGTGTGGAGGAGCAGAGCTCACGGAATTCGAACACAGATGTCGGGGGTCAGTCTGGGTTGATAATTGTGCTCAAATATGGGCCGGGTTGGGTGAGCCAGTTCGTAAACACGTTGGTTGGAGTTCAATTTGATACAGGCTTGTTTGTATTTGATTCGGTAAATTTTTATTAGTTTTGAGTTAGATCTCGAATCCGTTAAAATTTTAATAAGTAAATTTAAATAGAGTAAATTATAAGTACATCTTCTAAGATTTGTTTAAAATATAAATTAATTTTTGTGATTTGAAAAATTATAAATATCTTCTTGATAGAATTTTTCATTTAATAGAATTAATTAAAAAAGAAAAATTTTTAACTGTTCATCTATACAATAATAAAATTATCTGAATTATTAATTGAAATAAAATTTTAACATTATTAAAAATTGTTAATTAACTTAATGATTTATTAATAAAATGACATATTTGTTATGAAATTAGAAACATTAGGGGGGCATAATATAATTTCTAAAACTATAGAGATAATTTGTAATTTAAGTAAATCTCAGGGAGTGTGTTTTGTGGCCGGAAGCCCTCTTTTGTAGCCTGGTGCTAGTTTTGTTCCTCTTTTGCCCTAATAGTGTATGGGAGGTTCTCTTTCAGGTCCAAATTGGTTTTCGAGGAGCTCAAAACTGTATTCTGATTGCACCATTCCCAATACCTATTGTGTTCCGGTGCACGAATGTGCCCCACTTGCCAATATGAACAAGGTGTATCCTTTTTGAGCAAGTTGCAAAGTCTCCGAGGGGTAAGTTGGAGGTTATTGCCGAACATCGCTTTTGTTCATTTTGTCAAGTTACATATTTATTTTCTTTTGTTGCATAGAACGTGCGTTTTCACATACACTTATATTGCATGCGTGCCTTGCATCGTTCATGATTCACATGCTTACATAGCACATGCCTTCAGTTTTGCATAAAACATGATCTTGTTTCTTATATAGAACATGCTTTCAATTAACATCATATGTCGGTCGTCTATGATCTTGCATAAAACATGCGTTGTCATTTTATTGATTTACAATCTTGTTCACTTTCTGCATCTATCGCACTTGTTCACTTTATGCATCTATTGCACTTGTTCACTTCGTGCATTTATCGCACATTTTCACTACATTGTGTATCTATCATACAATCTCATACTTTTTGTATCTATTTCAGGACGCGTGAAACATAACCCTGAGCGGTTTTTCTCCTCTTCTCACGATTTCAGCGTGACTAGAGTATCTCAGGACGCATGAAACGCGACCCTGAGTGGTTTTTCTCCTCTTCTGACAATTTTCGCATGATTAGAGTATCTCAGGACGCGTGAAACGCGACCCTGAGCGGTTTTTCCCCTCTTCTTACGATTTTCGCATGATTAGAGTATCTCAGGACGCATGAAACGCGACCCTGAGTGGTTTTCTCCTCTTCTCACAATTTCCGCATGATCAGAGTATCTCAGGACGCGTGAAATGCGACCCTGAGCGGTTTTTCTCATTTTCTTACGATTTCAACGTGATTAGAGTATCTCAAGACGCGTGAAACGTGACCCTGAGCAATTTTTCTTATTTTCTCATAATTTTCGTGTGATTAGGGTATCTCAGGACACGTGAAACGCGACCCTGAGCGATTTTTCTCTCCTATTTTCATGACCGCGGCATGGTTAGAGTGAGTGTTTTTAGTTCTTTCCATGTGGAACTCATTTTGATTTAAGCTTGAAGCTCATTCATATGTTGTTATCTTGTTATTGCTTAGTGCATCATCTTGCATGATCATGAATTTTTCAAATAGCCGGCTTCGCGAAGTGTGTAAGTCCAACTTTCAGAGTATTTTTCGTGCATATCATTTGCATCCTGCCCCTAAATTATGGTGGTTTGATTCGTTGCAAGGGGTTTGTAGGCAACTTGCGAGCTTAACCAATTTAATTTATGTCTTGATTGCTTACCCAAGTCTTACGGGCTTATCAAAATGGGTCGTCTTCAGGCTTTGATATTCACTCATGTCATTTCATGACTCCGAGCTCTGTCAAAGAGGGACAACTGTAGCCACTCTATTTTTTACTGCCTTTGAGACTTGGGCGCCACTAATTGATCACTCAATGATGAATGTGTATGCTTGTCAAATGCTTAATTTCCTCAACATGAAACCTCAGTTTGAACCCGCAAACCTTGTGCCTTGTTTTGGACCAAAATAGTGATTTTTCAAGCCTGAGCATCCAGGGACCTTCAGACCCACAAGTGTGGCCTGCCGACCACTAGTGTAAAACCAAGATATTTTCTGCCAGCTGTCTCCACAGATGCATGCACCATTCCAGCTGTGTTTGTATAGATATTTCTTAGGGTCTCTCATATTTTCTATATATAGATGACCCTTTCTTATGTTGTAGGGGTTAGAAAAAATTTTGACTTTAGAAAATTTCTCTGTCTCTACAATTCTCTCTCTCTCTCTCTCTCTTGCAATTTACATAACCTTTGCCTAGACACTCTAAACCAAATTTTAAGGGATCTTTGCTGAGGTGATTAAGCTTGCGTTTTAGCACTTGAGAGTGTGGAATTAGTGGTTTAGAAATTCAAGGGATCATTCTTCCTCAGGAGGTATACATTCTAGCTCTTTTGTACCATCTTTTTCTCATATTTTCTTGCTATGTTTGAGTTGTTTATTACCTATATATTTGGGCTAAAACTTGTGGTTTAAAGCCATTAAAGGTAGAGGGGTTGACAACCCTTCTTTGAACCTTACTTCTTAGGCCTTTACCCTTGTGTTTCCCATCTTCTCATCACCTTTTTTTTTTTGATCTTTTTACCACTGATTTTCAGAGGTTTTCATAGGCTAAAATCATGTTTTGAAGTCCCAAAAATGGAGGGGTTAGCCTCCCCTTCTTGTACTTGTGTGCTAGTCTTAATCCCTTAATATTTTAGCTTGTTATTGTAGTTGTTTTTGTCTTCATTCCAGCACTTTTTTTGACTATTTAGGACTATTTTTATGAGTTAGCTTCATTAATGCTTTGTATTGTATGCTTATAGTGTAAGGGTCCTCATAGGCTTGGTGGTTTAGGTCTTAGCCACCAACCTATTTGAGTTGATAGCCTTTACTTCTTGCTTTACATACTTGTGTTCACCTCTAAGCACCTCTGCAATCTCCTTCATTTCTTAGCTTTTTCTCTTTGTTTTGAGAGTTGTTCCAGAAGGAGTGTTGTTTAAGCTCAAAAGAGTGATATTGTGCTTAATGGTTTAATCCCTTTGGGGGTTCATTACCAACAGCATGATCTCCCTCTCATGCCTAAAACAACATTTGGTTTGGTACTTCTCTCCATTAGTGGACTCAAAGCTCATTATTTGACTTAATTGACCAATGAATGGAAGGTAATTAAAATGGAGTAATAAAAATTGTGATAAAATGAACCAAGATAATAAAATGATTTGGTGTTCAATCGAATGTTAATTGAATACATGGAGACTTAGGTCATTTCATACTTGTTAGTGATGAAATGGTTCAAGTTTCCAAGGTCAACCACTTCTCTTGATCAATCCGTAATAGGGAGGAGGTTTTGTTGGTCTTTCCTTACTATTTATTGAAATTGTATCCCTCGGTTCATAAGTCATCACGCAATGAAATTGCATCGATTGATGGCTTGCGAATCAAGCCTACCCCTCTTTGACCTGTTTGCTAATAAGGAGAGGTAGGGTTGACAGACATCCCTTGAGAATGCTCTGTTTGTGCTCTGTTTGTTCTCTGTTGCTGTAGGAAATAACCAACATTAGTGGCCGGCAAGCCACTTTTACTGGGCGAAAGGCCACTACTTCTGGCCTGCCGGCCATTTCTTCCAACCAGGCAATGTCTCTTTTCCAGCAGAACAAAGCAAAGGTTCAGGTGGAAAAACAGTGCAATTTTCTTACTGTGCAACAGAGGCATTTCGGTAGCAAAATGGGGACTTTTCGGGTGGAAATTCACATCCATGCATGAACCATCCCTTGATTCTTGGGATCCGTTAAAATAATGGTGTAATAGTAGTATGTTGTTTTTAATATAACGGACTTGTAACTAATTAATTAGTTAGTTAGAATAGCTAGTTAGTGTTGTGTTGTACTTAATTAATTAGCTAAAGTAGTTAGTTAATTTATGGTGTTATAATAATTAGCTAGTATAGTTAATTTATTTCATTTGGTTTGTAGTAGTTAGTTGATTCGTAGTAATTAGCTAAGGCGTTCATTCGGACCCTCCTACGCAAGGGCAAATTGTAATAAATGTGTATGTCTTTCAATCCCGCGTCTTTCTTCCTTTTATTTACTTACTTATAATGGGTAATTTAGAACATCATGTTTCATTTAGCATATTCCATGATTTGCATCCACTTGTCTTGCACGAATTGAGGCTCGATTCATCATTCTAACAAGCATTGTCATTTATTACTTCGTTGAATACATGTTTAAACTGCATGCTATCAAATTGATTCACATGTCATTATTAGTAGCTGAGCCTATTAATTGTATTTTTGCATGTGTTGCAGTAGGCATCTTTTATTAGTCAGGATCATGTATTTTCTAACTAGTTTCTTTTTTTTTTTTGGCTCGCCTTCAAGTACTAGGTGAGCTTTTATTTGCTTTAGCATATCGCATACGTGTGATTGTTGTCATGTCGAGCATGATTATCATAAGGCTAAGTGCTTAATTGATATAACTCTTGAATGCCTGTGGATGAAGGCTAATTGCTTGAATTGAGATGATTTGATCGATGTGTATATGAGATCACTTTTTCAAATGACACATATTTGAAACAATTTTCAAAACAATCATGAGATCAAAGTGTTCCAATTTTTGCAAGTTAGTCTATACTTGTGTGCAACACATAGTAATGTTAGCCTAATAATCGGAATAAGAACATATAATGTAAATAAAAATCACATCATGATTAGTAGAGGCTGATCTTTGATCGGGCAAGTGGGGTGCTCAGTCCATGACCTTTCCCTTTCGTACCTAAGTTCCCGAGCGAAGACAATCTTGGTAATGACGGACTCGTGGC